AGCTAAGAGGCTTTGGCATACCTAGAGCATACCAGCAATTGAACAGTCAGCCAGCCTTGTGCGCTGGAGCATTATCTGTGGCTGTGGAGTATTTAAGCCAGTGATGCATAACTATATATCAGTGAGGCTGCTCATTGCACCGTGAATAGAGGAGGAAGGGGTTACATTTAAGCCAGTAATGCATAACTATATATCAGTGAGGCTCGTTGCACCGTGAATAGAGGAGGAAGGGGTTAAGAAGGTAGGAAGTGGTCTTATAGCATGACAGAGGATTGATTCTTCTAGCCGAGGATGGTCAATACACATTGCCACAGACTGTCTAGGATGGTCTCCTAGCCCTACCTGTGGGGAATTGAGTGTGGGTCATTCTCTGTGCAATGTATGAGCTGTACCACTGAATCATGGTCCCTTTCAACAGATTGGCTTAGATCAGTGGTCCCCGACCTTGGGCCTCCAGATGTTTTTGGACTACAACTCCCAGAAGCCTTCACCACCACCTCTGCTGGCCAGGATTTCTGGGAACTGAAGTCCAAGAACATCTGGAGGCCCAAGGTTGGGGACCCTTAGACGACCCCCTAGAGTTCTCCTATTACATGATTCTAACACACCCTTTGAGTCAACAAAAGAACTTTTCATTCATTATTCATTGTTCAGTAGCTTCTTCCATAAATCTTTGTCCACCACACCCAGACATTTTCTGAGACTTGTCTCATTCCTGTTCTGTCATTAAGATGTTTTGTTTCTGAAGAGAAACAACCTCCTTAAGCTTGCATGGTTCATCTCTGCCAGGGGCTGGAAAATATCAATCAACATGAAGAATAGGATGCCGTGATGCTGAGCTGATGCAGCTTCTTAGCATATGCTAACGTGCGTGTCAGTGTTGCTTAAACAGTCACTCTGTGTGGAACAGTTTCGTTGAACATATACGAGACATCCTTGCAGTGACTAACACTGTGTACAAATTCAAGACAGCGTGAACAGATGATGGTGATGGAACTTAAGCTTCAGAGTGTTACGCAGGCCCAAATCAAATATGTTGTAGCTCTGGAACAAAGCCACTCTAGAGTAGAAAATATAGTATGTTCTCAAGAGACACATAGCAATCAGATCTCCAAAGAACCAGGGTGGACAACCGCGTTTTTGTCTTTTATTCCTTTTTATTTTGTTTTCACTTACAATGATCTCCGAAAGTAGAATAACATTAAACTCAATATCATTATCATCTCACCTTTTTATTTTCACTTACAATGATCTCCGAAAGTAGAATAACATTAAACTCAATATCATTATCATCTCAGAAATCATACCATCAGAGCTACATATTTTTACCACAACTTTCTCCTAAAACAGAATACAAGGCAGCTTACATCAATAAAAACACAACGTTAAAAGCTAAAAACAGTGACTTACTCAAATGTTTGAACAGAATGAATAACATCGTATTAAAAATGTTAGGTAAAAAATATGACTAAAACAGATGTAAAAGCAACAAAAAACCCAGAAACCATCCTAGACAGTCAATCTTTAAGAAAAACCCTGCCTGTAGAGAAAGGTCTTTGCCTGCTTGTGGAATGATAGCAAAGGTGAGGCCAGCCTGGTTCTCTTGTGGGAGGGAGTTCCAGAGTTTGGGAGAAGTGACAAAGAAGGCACTCTTTCCTAAATTGCAAATATTATGCTCTCCTGTGACCCTGCTGATTGGCCATTCTCAGAATTTTAATCCAAAAAGTAACTTCCTGAAGTTTAGGTTGAACTGCAGCTCCCAGCATTCCACACCACTGACACATTGGGAAAGACACAGATTTAGGCATTAGAGCGGTGCTTCCTAAACTTGGGTAATCTAGATATTCTTGGCGTGCAATTCCCAGAAGCCTTTACCAGCAGTTGTGTTGCCTGGGGTTTCTGGGAGTGAAACTGACTATATATTTTATTTATTTATACCCCACCTTTTTCCTCAAAAGGATTCAGCAGGTGCAGCTTTTAATGGAAGCCATTGCTGAAATTTCCTCCTCCACACCACTGTTGAAGCTACAGGAGGTCATCATCACCATCTTAAGAAATGCAAAACTGGAAGGGATCCTATGGTTCATCAGGTCCAGCTCCAGTCAAGGAGAAAGAGTGGGGCATCGAAGTCCCATCCTTTGACTCGACAGCCAGATACTTAAACCACTGAGCTATCTTGTCCTCCATTTCACCTGGCCACCCAAGTACAGTATGTGACAGCCCTGTTGTCCTTGTGTTCTCTGTTGCCTGTTTGGTTCTTTTTGATTCACCACACTACATTAAAATGGCCTTGTTTATTTGTTTATGTAATTTATGAACACTCAGGATCCCGTTAGACTTGACGTGCAACAGTAAACGCCTGCACTAACCTTAACGTGTGGCAGTTCACTGCTGAGATTTCATGCAATTGCATTAGGCCTGCATAAAACACACAATTGGAGACTGGTCATCCTTTCCAGATCTCCCTATAGAAAATAATCGCAGTTATAGTCATACATAATCAAAATCGTAATCCTGTCCCCAAAACGACTGCTGTGATTGAAGCAATTAAACAAAAACAACCACCCCTATATGTGCCACCTTAAAGGTGAATAAGTTTTATTTGGCCTCAGGATATGCAGACTGCAACTTAAGAAGTGTCCACTTAGGCAACAACAAGGAAAAAGCTCATTCCTCTTTAAAGTGTCCCAATGCTCCTATTTCTGTTGCTTGAAACAAACCAATATGGCTACTCTCTGGAAAGTTTAAAAAAAAAACTGTTGGGAGCCCTGTTTGGAGGGTATTTTTCCTAGCCGATGATGGGAATCGTTTTGGTCATTGTGGTGGTCATTATTGTTGTCATTACCTACAAAGCCTCTACAGCTTGGGCCCAGGCTACTTGAAGGACCGTACCTCCCCATAGGAGCCTTCTGAGCCTTTAAGACCATCAGAGGAGGTCCTCCTATCGGTCCCATTGCCAGCGCTGGCATGATTGATGGGGACATGGGAGAGGGCCTTCTCCGTGGCAGCTCCCACGTGATGGAATTTCTCTCCCACGAGAGGTCAGGTTGAGCCACTCCTTTTTCTCCCTCCACCAACAGCCAAAGACCCGTCTTTTTCAGGCAGGCTTTTAACAATTCAGTCCCGGAACATTGTTTCTTAGTTAAGTTTGATTTAAAAGTTTTAAATGCGCTTAAGCATTCAGCATAATTCAGTTACTATTGTTTATTGTTTAATCTGTTTATTTACATTTTTATCACCACCCCCAACTTGTCACAAAGCGGCTACTCGGGGTGGCTAACAGAACAACCACAATATAACATAGTAACCATAAAAGCAACAACAAACGTGTTCAGAATTTTTTTTTTTTTTTAAAAGGAAGAAGACAAACAGGATCCCTGAAGTAGTTGCAGAAGGAGTAGCTGCCTTAGTCTGTGCAAGCATTATAGGTGAGGGGAAAAATTGAAAATATAAAGTCAAAAAAGACCAAAAAAATGTGGTGGCTCATTAAAGACTAACTTTTACGTTGTTTAATGTGTGGTTTTGTGGACAAACCTACTTCATCAGACAGTGGGTTTGTCCACAAAAACTCACATAAAAAAATGTAAAAGTCTTTAACATGCCACCGCCTTTTTGTCTTTTATTCCTTTTTATTTTGTTTTCACTTACAATGATTCCCGAAATTAGAATAACATTAAACTCAATATCATCATCATCTCAGAAATCATACCATCAGAGCTACAAAAAAA